CAAATTTAGCCCTTGTTTGGGCTACATTCTTTGTTTTATTATCATTCTTCTACTCATTTTTAACCACACATTTTTCAATAAAATAATATTTTCCATCACATCAATAAATTTTTCTTCCTTTTCAACCACACATTCTCCATTAATCTACTATTTCAAAATACATTTTTCCAAAATAATGTGGATCAGACACACCCTTAAGAAGTTTTCTAAAATGAATATTTAATACTTAAATTGAATTATATTCTACATCATCCAGTGGGGCCAAACCCCACCCCGCCCCTCCCTGCCCTGCCCTACCCTGGTCGTTTTCTACAACTAAACTGATAAAATGTCACTTTGGGTACTACACATAGGGGTTGAAAAAGATGAAATTCAGGATCTTTTAACCTTTTTTTTTATATAATTATTACTTTATAGTTTATAGAGACAAAAAACAAAAGAAAAATCGGAAACTAAAGGAAAAGCAATAAGTTCGACTATTATCTCGATGGTTGGTTGTGGTTGACTTATAAGAAAGAGTTTCCTTTATTTTATTTTTTCCTGAAGTTTGATTATTCTATTTATTGGAAGCAACGCATAATTTTATTTAAAAGTAATGCTATTTAGCCTCATTGAAATTACAACCTCAGTCTATGTGGTGTTAATATGACATTAAATGATATGTGAAATCAATGAATATGATCTAGACTAGAGGTTGGCATGGAGGATAAGTTTATCTTAACGGATTGGGGGCTGGCATGGAGGATTGAATGTCAAAATTTTTGTTCATTATGATACTTGATGCAATTTTAGCCGTAAGTTTGTTGAATGAAGTATGCCATTCGCTTATTGTTTCATTTCTAATCAGTATTTAGCACGTGTTTTGAATGAGAACGAATAATACCATAATTGACTTAATGTGAAGGTCAGAATGAATAACACCAGAAATGGTTTAATGCGAAAGCTGATGGATTGGTGATTTGGCTTTCATCATATTTTTTACGTTCGGCATATGCCATCAGATTTAGTTGATTTGGTGTGTAGCGAAGATAGGATGGTGTAATATGTGCGCAAATGACCCTGAGATTACATTGCCTCTTCAAAGTTAAACATCCCCTGATCGTCGTATTCTCCCTATAATTCGTGAGAGGTCTAGTAATTGGTTTGATAAGCAAGATGGTAATGGTAAAATAGAAGAATTGTCTATGCCTTACCGTAAGGGTTTCTGGTTGAATTACATATCCATTGGCTTGTCTTGTGTCAGTCGAGGACTTAGTGGTGACGTGTTCGGTAGAGATTAAAATCAGATTAAAATTGAAAAACTAGTCGTTATTATTGACTTTTATTAGACGAATGAGACTCAATAACGACTATATTTTCAATTTTAATTGAATTTTAAGCTACACCGAACACGCTTTTAGGACATTCATGTGTCAGATTACTCTAACCTTTCCCCCCAGTGAATTAGTAAAGCTAGAAGAAAGCCCTCGTTCGATTGGAGGTCCAAACATATACATCCAGTGTTCCACATGTGGCACTTTCTTCAAGTTTATAGAGACGGTTTAGGTATTAAATCAAATTTTTTTGTTGAAACAAAGTCTTAAAAATGTAAAAGAACAAAAAAAAATAAAAATGAAAAAATCGAATAAAGTGCCTCTTTAATTTTTGAAAGATGTATTCGAATATTAGTCAAAAAAAATCGGAAACTAAAGGAAAAGTATGAAGTTTGACTATTATCTCAATGGTTGGTTGTGGTTGACTTATAAGAGTTTCTTTTATTTTTTTTCTAAAATTGGATTATTCTATTTATTGGAAGCAACGAATAATTTTCTTTAATATTCGTGTTTCTTGTCCTTACCGTAAGGGTTTCTGGTTGAATTACATATCCATTGGCTTGTCTTGTGTCAGTCGAGGACTTAGTGGTGACGTGTTCGGTAGAGATTAAAATCGGATTAAAATTGAAAAATTAGTCGTTATTATTGACTTTTATTAAACGAATGAGACTCAATAACGACTATATTTTCAATTTTAATTTAATTTTAAACTACACCGAACACGCTTTTAGGACATTCATGTGTCAAATTACTCTAACCTTTCCCCCCAGTGAATTAGTAAAGCTAGAAGAAAGCCCTCGTTCGATTGGAGGTCCGAACATATACATCCAGTGTTCCACATGTGGCACTTTCTTCAAGTTTATAGAGACGGTTTAGGTATTAAATCAAAATTTTTTGTTGAAACAAAGTCTTAAAAATGTAAAAGAACAAAAAAAAAAATAAAAATGAAAAAATCGAATAAAGTGGCTCTTTAATTTTTGAAAGATGTATTCGAATATTAGTCAAAAAAAATCGGAAACTAAAGGAAAAGTATTAAGTTTGACTATTATCTCAATGGTTGGTTGTGGACCTTGTGGTTGACAACGAATAATTTTCTTTAATATTCGTGTTTCTTGGAAAAAAGAAAAAGAAAAAAGATCTTCAGTTGACCATGATTTTTGATTGTCAACTCGGCAAACTATTATCATGATATGGAGATCAATGAGTATGATCTAGATTGGAGGTTGGAAAGTAGGATACGTTTATTTTAACATTTAGATTAGTACGGTAATTGCAGCTATAATTTGTCTACTAACAATTAGGTTAGCATTGTGATACTTAGGGGTGGATATAGTTTCATTTGGTTATAATTTCAAGGGAATCAAATCATGAGCCAATGATTTTTTTTATTATGAAATCAATAGTTTTTTTTTTTTTAAGATATAGAACCAAATCGGAATCAAATCATTCGATTATGGTTTAGTTTTGTTTGGTTCTGATTTCATTATTTAAATTTTCAAATGATAAATACAAATTAAAATATATTACCGTATCCATATATTAATAATATATACCTAAATAAAGAAAAATAAATATCAAACAATCAACTAATGATACTTGATTCCAACACGAAAAATGAAACGCAAGATCAAGTTCTGGGGCTTTACTTGGAGTAGTTGAGGTTTTTAGCATTTTCTAAGGTTAGATTGGGAATCTTCATTTTGACACGACAATCATGCCGCATATACATTTTTTTACATTATTTTTAACATTGCGACACATGATTGTACATTTGTTTTATAAAAAAAACAATTTCCCATCCAACTTTTTTGAACTTTAATGGAGTGCACATAAAGATGTAAACCAAATGATGCAAACTTAACATTATTCTTGACACAAACTTGTTGCACTAAATTATCTTCTTTTTGAGTGTTAGCTTTTAGCATACATCGTGAGAACGGTTAGATATATATCAAGTTTTTTTTTAAAGAAATAATGAAAAATCGAGATAGTTGGTCGAGTGGTGAAATGTGTATAATTTACGTGAGTGGTTAGCCAAAAAAAATGTTAAATATTGCAGTTATTGGATAATTTTGTTAATAATAAAACCGATAGTTTTATTTTATTAACTTCAAATTATTGTTGGATTTTTTGGCCTATATATACAACTCGATTTCTTGAAAATTATATAGAAATCATTTCATCTTCTGTAATTTTTACAAATTCAAATCTAGATTATTTTATTTTTTGAAGATATTGTTTTGAAGTATGGAAATCATTTTTTATTGCTGAACAAGTGATTTGATCGTTGTATCGTGTGAGTGATTGTTTAAAGAGGTTGCAGCAGTCAATGTTGGACAATTTTACTTTAGGTTATCATGCTATCAAGAGTCTCGACCGTTGGATAAGTCTTCTTACTTTCTGCATTTTAATTGAAGTTCTTAAAAGGTATCTACAACTAATATTTCTACACTTCATGCATGGCTTTTTAAGTTGGTCCTCGTATGTCTTTCATTAAATCAAAACCATTTTTTTTTTCAAATTCATTTTCAACAGCACATGCACATAATAATATATTTTGCACGTAAACAAGTAAACTCAATTTTTTTAACCACGCATACTAAAAAAATCACTATTCCAAAATACATTTTTTTTTTCAAGAAAACTCATTTTAATGGAAAACTCCCGTCAGCATGAGCCACTTTTTTTTTTTTTTTTTGTATAAAATGCATTTTGGAATAATATTATTGCGTGAATGTGTGATTGAAAAAAAAAAGAGAAAAAATGTATTTAAAAAAAATGGGGATCAAACAAGGGCAAAATAAGATGATTTGTGCATGTTTTACTATGCCTAGAAAAAGTAAGAATATTTAAAAGTAACTTAAATTTTGCCAAACTTATATTCAAGATTAGTAACTTATTATTATTTTTTAAACATGGAAAATAAGTTTCAGTCCCTATTTAGTGGAAATTAAAATTAAATTTTTAGTAGATTTTTAATAAAAAATTATAAAAATATATAGCTGAAAAATTGTAAATATATGTATTTAAAATTAATTGTTGATTTAATCACCAAATCTGTGATTAGTTTAAAAGTTAAATATATATATAATTCTTTTTGAAACTTTGTCAAACACGAGCCTCTAAGGAGTGTCCAAATGACTAAATGAGGGTGGTCTGCGCTCTTACATATGAATGCACGGTGATGGAGTCGCAAGTATGCAGCACCCTTGTATTGACCGCCGAAATAGTGGCGCGTGGGCACACTATGGATAATATTGTATTTTTTTTAGGTCAGAAATATCTGCATTATTTATTAGTCTATGGGATGAGGATATAGATTTAACATTTGGACTCGACCCAACTTGACAAATCAGTGCTCTCTCTCTCTCTCTCTCAATTTTGATATTTGGTTGTGTTGTCCAAAAGAACTTGCATAGGAAGTAGAAACTGGTGTGCGATGAAGAAGCCGCGCCACCTGCTGGGTTCTCATGCGCCGCAGCCTCTAAAGGAGAGCTTCTACTTTGTTTTAATTATCTTATTCCTGCTGGAGATTGCTGGAGCTCAAACTACAAGAAATGCCACCGTTGATCCTTCTGAAGGTACGCCCCTCTCTCTCTCTCTCTCTGTGTATCTATATGTGTGTGTAATTTACTAATTTTACACAGTTGTATTGCAAATTTTCCGGATTTTTTTATTTAAATGTTTGAGAACTTGGTTCTTTTTAAAAGATTTTTGTTTCTTGTTCTTCTTAGTTTCTTCATGCAATCTTGATGCTTTTATTGTGTTGTAATCAGTTTAATCCAAATGGATATTTATTTCATTTTTTTTCTTACTGTTCAAGAAATTTAAAAGTAGAGAAAAATTATTTTGATAAGTCATTATTTTGAAAAAAATATATTTTGAATAGTGATTTTTTTAAAAATACGCTCTTAGGAAAAATTATAGATTTACGTGTAAAATATTTTATTATTTAAACGTATGTTTGAAAATAGATATAAAACTAGAGAGTTTTGATTTAAAATAAGACAAAGGGCTACATATAACTTAAAAACCACCTTTAATTATATATCCTTGTTTAATTCCCATTTTTAAAAAAAAATATTTTTCTATAAATTTATTTTCAATTATACATTCTTTCAATATAATAATTTTATACTTAAAATTCAAAATTTTTCATATTTTTTAATCACACGATTTTTTAGAAAATGACTGTTATAAAATATATTCTCAATAAAAATAGGACTCAAACACACTCTTTCTTCAAGAATAATAAAAAGGTATTTTAAGAGAATGTATGGTTAAAAAGTAAGGAAAAAAATTTGAATTTACGTATGAATATTTTATTGCATTAATGTTTGATTGAAAATTATAATGTAAAAAAAGGAGTTTGCAAATAACAAGAATCAAACGGGAGCCAAATAAGACATTGGTTGAAAATCCTTGACTCTTCCACGTTGATTGGCCCTACAAAGTTTGACACTTCCCATTATTTTAAGGAAATGCTACATCATTATTGACATGATTTTTACGTATGGATGAAATGTCAAAAACATAGTGGTGGGGTTTCTTTTATTTACACATTTGTTGATAGATAATGAGATGGCATGCTCTTTGATCCTTATTTATGAGTAAACTATTTAATCACCACTGATATTAAGTCTCAGTTTAAGTGTCGATTAAATGATATTTTAAATAATAGATTCATATAATTGTAAAAGTCACACGATTGACGACTCATTTAATTGAAATCCATAAAAAATAGTCACGTAGATTACACCATTGGTGCTCTATAGTATTATTCTTTTTTTATTTGGTTGATGTAATTTTAACCTAATCAAATCTTATCACATCATGTATTGGTGTAAATTGTGATGTACATTTAGCACAATCGATTAAATTTTTAACAAGTTTTGATAAAAACTGATAAAATATGGAGTTGAAAGTTATGATCCTATAAAGCGTTAAATTCATTGGTGGTCACCCAACTTTATACTTTGTGTCACCATGGTCACTCAATTTTATACTTAATGTCACCAGACCACCCAATTTGATTTTAATTCACCAAAGCCATCTAATTTCATATAACGTTTTACTATAGACACTCAATTTTATATAACATTTCACAATGGTCACTCAATTTCTTTTTATCATTTTTATTAATTTTAAAAGGGGTAAAACTGTAACTTTGCATTATATATATAATATTTTTTTAAAAAAATTAAATTTTATTTAAAAAAAACTTAAAACGTTTATTTTAAAAGGAGTTTTTATTTTATTTTATTTTTTTAAAGAACATTTTTTTTAAAATAACTTTTTATTTTATTTTATTTTTCTAAGTAACTTTTTTTTTAAAATAACTTTTTTATTTTATTTTAAAAACATTTTAAATAAGTTTTTATTTTATTTTATTTTTCTAAGTAGCTTTTATTTTTTTAAATAAGTTTTTATTTTATTGTTTTAGTAACTTTTTTTAAAATAAGTTTTAATTTTATTTTTTTATATATAATATATAATGTAAAGTTACCATTTTACCATTTTTAAAATTAATGAAAATGGAAAAAGAAGTTGAGTGGCCATGGTGAAATATTATATTGAATTTGGTGATCATAGTGAAACGTTATATGAAATTGGATAGCCTTGATAAAATAAAATCAAATTGGGTGGCCATGGTGACATTAAGTATAAAGTTGGGTGGCCACCAATAAATTTAACTCTCTTATAAAATACATTGTTAATGTTGACTTAAGATACACGAAACAAGGTCTTAGTCAATGTAACAAATACTCAGTGATAAGACTCAAACAAATTTTAGTGATGCTAATTAACAGTTTCTTTTGTAATCTTGATTAATCAACTTTGCAATTTATTATAACAATTATTATTTTTATTTTCATTTTACAAGTTTTTTCTTTATTATACTTAACTCGAAGTTGGTTTCATCTCAATTTGAGTTGTGTAAAGTACAATGGTAATCGTAACATGCTTTCAAATTTTGCAGCAAGAGCTTTGAACTCTATATTTCAGCGTTGGGGAATTTCTGGAACAGATCAAAGATGGAACATTAGCGGCGAATTATGCAGCGGTGTTGCAATTGATGATACAGCAATTCGCGATATCAATCCGGGTATTAAATGTGATTGCTCTTTCAACAATAGGACCGTTTGCCGCATTACTGCACTGTGAGTTTCCCCTCTACTTTTCTTTGGTTGTAGGGTTGAAGACACTCTCACCCAATTGTATCGTTTCACTTTGATTACTTGCTTTAAACGATTCCAAATTTGTCTTTGAAATATCATTTTATGTTGATTTTTGGCTCCGAACGTCGTAATTTTACAGGAGAGTTTATGCATTGGATGTTGTGGGTCCAATCCCGAATGAGCTCTGGAATTTGACTTACCTTACTAATATGTACGGTTATTTTTTTCTATTAGTTGGTTTGCTCAAGTATATGTAATAGTTAATTAGTTTCTTGGCACCTACTTTTTCATTTGTCTGTCCACATTGTTATTTCTTAGATGCTGATGTCACAGGTGTTTTCCCTACTTCTATTGCAGAAATCTAGACCAAAACTATTTGACGGGTCCACTGCCTGCATCTATTGGAAACCTCACTCGCATGCAGTCCTTGTAAGATATATTTTTGGGGTTAATTTTACAAACGGTCACTGAAGTTACCTGAACATCACAAAACAGTCACTGAAATTTAAAACTTGCAGAAACGGTCACTGAAGTTTAAATTTCTTTCACAAACGGTCACTGAATTTTCA